GCCCCAAAAATACTATAGAAGTTTTGAACCACCTTGCCAAATGTGGCTATAAGGTATCCTCTTAGAAGGCTCAAATTTGCAAGGCATGGTCACCTATGTTGGGTTTCAGCTACAAAAAGGACAAAGGAGTCTTTTAAATGAGAGAAAACAAGCCATTGCCACCATCAGGACTCTTAATACCCAACACCAATCATGAGAGCTTTGGGGCATGGCTGCATTTTGCCACATGGATCCCCAAATATGGACTTATAGTAAGGCCGCTATATGAGGCCTTAAAAGGACTGTACTCTGAACCTCTAATTTGGATTTAGAGGTACATAAGGAAAAATTACAGTTGGCTCCAACCCTCGGCCTTCCAAACCCTAGAAAGCTTTTCAAATTTTGTGTGTATGAGAGACTAGGGCTGAGGTTAGGAGTTCTTATTCAAACAGTAGGAGACATCCCACAACCTACTGCTTACTTTTCCAAACAGATCAGACTACAAAAGGATGCCCCATGTTTATGAGCAGTGGCTGCAACTTGTGACATACTGCAAGAATCTGAGAAATTTACTTTGAGATAGGCAATTACCATTTACGTGCCTCACCAAGTGCTCACTCTCCTAGAACAGAAGGGAGGACATTGGCCAATGGCAGGGAGGATGGGGAAATATCAGACCATCCTGCTCAATAATCCTAACATTAGCCTACAAGTCACCACCACTTTCAATCCAGCAACCTTACTGCCTTGTTCTGATGAGTTCTCTTTATAGCATCAGCGTGTTGAAGTGTTAGATTTGGTTTACTCTAGTAGACCAGACCTGGCTAATTAGCTACTGATGGATCCCGATTGGGAGCTATACACCGATGGTAGCTGCTTTATGGAAGAACAGCACTGTGTCTGTTATGTAGTTGTCACTGCTAATCAGGTGATAGAGACCTTTCCTCTCCTAGGATTTCGGCCCAAAAGGCCAAATTGGCTGCACTCACCTGAGCTCTGGAGTTATCTCAAGGTAAAAGAGTCAACACTTATACTGATTCCAGGTGTGCTTTTATGGTTTTGCATGCACATGGTGCCATTTGGAAGGAAAGAGGACTGCTAACTTCTGTGAATAAAGATGTGAAATACTAACACTTCTACAGGCAGTTAGGTTACCTGCAGAAGTAGCAGCCATGCATGCACTGCCCTGGACATGAAAAGGACAATTCTATGGTATCTCCAGGGAACCAGGCCACTGATAAAGTGGACAAAGAAGCAGCTAAACACACCCCATCAAGTTTAGGGTGGGCTTTAATCCCACACAAAGACCTCACCAGCTTTATACCTCAATACATCATTGAGGATCAGGAAAGGGCCCAAGAATGAGGTTTCACAGGTGAGGATCTCTGAGAAAAGGAAAATAAATGAAACAGGCACAAATTTCCTCCCCAAGGCACTTGTATATCCAATTGTTAAACATCTACTTGAGGGGACTCATGATGGTTGAGATGGCCTGACAGAATGGCTGTGGCCTTGACTTAAAGGTCCTCATATGAGGAAAATTATTCAGCAAGTGACCAGGGGATGCTAAATATGTGCTTGAAGTAATCCTAAAACAGAAGCACATCTGATGTAACAGAGTGTACAATATAAAGGCATTTGTCCCTTTGAAGACTGGCAAATAGATTTCACGCAGATGCCCAGAGCCACTGGGAATTACAGGTATTTGTTGGTAATGATAGACACTTTCTTGGGATGGAAAGAAGCATTTCCCATGTGAAGTGAAAAGGCGACTGAGGTAATAAAAACATTGATAAAAAAAATAATTCCAAGATTTGGGTTACCAGCTTCAATACAGAGAGATAATGGACCTGCATTTGTGGCTGAAGTGGTGCAAGCAGTAAGTAAAATTTTAAAGGCCACACCAAGGTCAAAGGCTCAGATCTCCTTATTGACCAACCACCAAAGAAAAAAAAATTTTTTTAATATCACCCGGAAGCTCCTAGTGTCCTGGGGGCCACAATGCACTAGAAAAACCAAAAAGATGAGTCATACACTGAAAAAGACTTTAGCCAAACTGTGCCAAGAAACTCATCTGACATGCGATGAGGCACTGTCCCTTGCCCTGCTCCATACTTGAGTAGCACCTAGAAGCAGACTCAAATTGAGTCCTTCTGAACTTGTATATTGGACACCTTTCCAAGCTAGGTTAAGCTTAAGTGATCCTGAATTAGAAAATGAGATTCAAATGAAATAGTGTGTAAAACAATTACATAAAATGTTGTTAATTGTCAGTTTGCTCTTTCCAGGTGCACTTATCCTACTGATGACCCATCACACCCCTTTTCACCAGGGGATAGGGTGTTATTGAAGTCTTGGAAGGAACAGGGTCCTGACCAACAGCTAAAAGAAAACCAGGGAGGGCCCTATGATGTTTTATTAACAACCCATTCTGCCTTAAAGCTTTCAGGTATAAAACCTGGGACTCATTGGATGCAAGTCAAAAGGGCACCTGCTGAGGACAAGTCAGAAGCAGACAGTTCAAAACCTCAGAGGGCCAGCCCGTGGCTCACTTGGGAGAGTGCGGTGCTGATAACACCAAGGCCATGGGTT